TGCAACTACAGCTCCTATGACGCATAAGGGTATCTCTCGTACATGCATAAGCTTCACCCTAAAAGGTGGTCCGCTTTCTCGAAATGATTATCATTATGTATGTCATGTGATGGTACATAGATGAGGCTTTAGCCCCCGTCTTTAAAGGCCACCATCGTACACAAGGGGTTACACAATCTCTCGGCTCACTCATCAGGGAATACTCTGATCTCATCAAGGGATGACCTATTAGAACCATTATCGGATAGTTTTTTATGCCCAAGTAACATATATTTTTCCCAACAGCCTGGCCTGGATCATCAAGCACAGTTCGGTATTAGTAAATATTATTTGTTTAATATGGTCAACGAGGGACCACACTCCCACTGAGTTCATGTTCCATTATATCAAATGTTTCATTACAAGCACTAATAAGACCTTTAATGGCTACTCTCACCTAATAGAAACCATATTTTTCAATGAACTTTAGACGGCGCGCCTTTTTTTCTAAAAAAAAAAAAATTTGCAACCTTATACAAATTTTTTCTTTTTATATATATTGGAATGGATGAATTTTAGGTCACATAATTGCGCCTCCCTGTTCTTTTTTTTCACTGAAAATGATGGCTCAGCCTCTTCCAACAGTCACCAATCACCATAATGCCCAACTACTCTAGGTCAAAATGATTCAAGGGAGAGGTGGAGAAAATATCCTTCGCATGTGATATTATCAAGTGTGCCCCTCATTCATCAAAATAACACCATATGCCTCCTCGCTCCATTTAAGAGACATCTAGGAGCATCATGGGAAAAAGAATTGAGAATGCACATCATGCACCACCAATACTTGGTATCACATCCACCCCTTCATTCCTGAAGGTGCACGGTCAACATTAACCTAAATATTATACTCAAAAGCTTATTGACAATTATTTTTGCCGATTTGAATTTATTCCATTTTTACAAGAAAAGTTAAAATGCTGATAATAAGTCTAATAATATCTGGTAAAATCAATTTCCTGTGATACTTTAAGGTTTCTAATTATTTTCACAAATAATAGAAAAAGGCTATTATGATGATGATTATTATTTTCACAATAAAAGAACTTACCAGTTGATATCATGTATGTAATCTAAAAGCAAAATTAACAAGTCGAACTTTTAATTGGCTGGTTTGAAATAATATTTAATAATATCAATAAAATTTTATTTCATAACAAATACTATAATAATTTGATATTTTAAAATCCCGATAATCATGTGATTCATTCTCAATAGAAATAAATACTTTAATTTCCCGGTAAATCTCTGCTTCATGACAATATCCCAATGACGAGAATGATTGTAACCTTCATCTATTTTATTACTTCTCATTTTATTTTGTCTTTGACAATTTAGCAATTCTTTTGATGCAATTATTAGTTAACCCCTTTGATATAATTACCAGCCACTAATTCCTTTTATTTCTCTATTTCCGAGAGTCCCAGAAAACCATAAGGAAAAAGGTGATGGGCATTGGGAGAACTTCCAAAATTTTAAGGTTATTTTGGTCATTTAGTCAAAGCGGCAAACCGAACTATTTTTGTCCCATATATTTACTGGTTTACTTTGAGAGAGGTTGGTTACGTCAACTAAGAGCGGGAACCTCTTCCATTATTGTGCATTCCCTTCCAAGTGGGTGCACTGTTACATAAAATGCTCCATTATTTTGATCGATAATATTTTCCAATGTAGCCTAAAGCGACATGTATTTGCTACAACCGCATGGCTTACTTCTTTGAATATGATTTCATATTTTTAGAGGGTTAGTATTTAAACCCATTATACATAGATATGATCGTATTTTAAGTAGCGTGATGACCTTAAACTTTCTCTTAATCCATCTCCTGCTCAGATAACGAGGCATGATTGTATTAGGTAGACAGCCAATGAAAAATTTTACCAATATCTATCATGAATCCTTATAGATTTATAATATCTGCTTATGTTAGGGCGTTTCCCAGCATAAAGTGTAATTAGGGTATGGAGAACCACAATTCATATAGCCGACCCCAATTAATTGAAAAATAGCTAAAATGATGATGATAATAACATAGATATGACCTATTCTCTATATTTCTCTTTTTAAGATTCCATTTCAAACGTATTGATGAGTTCAAATAGGTATGTGCACAATCTACCCCTTTTCACTATTCTGATGCTAATTTGTTCTGCACATAGTTATAAAGTTTATCTATAAAAAGACCATTTATTTTTTATAGGTCACAATCATTCTTGTCCCTTAAATTTTAAAATTGGTGGTTGTAAGAGTTTTATTGACTAGATACAAAGTTCCAAAAAAACATATATATCGGGACTTGGTGATTCACACCAAACCATCCAAATCGTTTAATAGGTGGGAATGATTGTGACCTTCGAATACAAAAGATAAATAGTCTTTTTGTAGACCATCCCAATTCCAAAATAACCCCATATGTTTTATATTTTACGGTCAACTCCTACTCTTTAAAAGCATATGGGGTTTGATTCTATTGTTTTTCCTCTACATCAAATTAAAATCATATTTTGTGTGTCTATATATCTCATTATACATACATAGAAACTATTAAAATATTAGTTAAATAAATTTATCAAAATACTTCTAAATATTATAGGGATAGTTTAGTTTATTTTTTAAATTATTTTGTAATATATCTTATAGGTGTGTGGTGGTAAAAAGTATGGATATATCAAATTTGAGTTTAATCTGATGTATAAAAATAAGAGATAAAATCAAAATATATTTTATACTCTTAAAAAGGGGGACTTTATTTTAAGACATCAAACATATGAGATTATTTTTAAAGGAAAAATCTACAAAGAGACTATTTATCTTTGGTACAAGGTAGTCATAATTAATCTTGATTGTTGGTATTTCATTGACCAAACTCAAAGTTCAAAGGAATTTTTTTGAACTTTATAACATAGCCAAGCTATCAAATTTCACAACAGATAATTATAAGTAATTGTGACGTCTTTGTACCAAAGATAAATAATCTCTTTGATACAATTCCATTTTTAAATACCAAAAATAAAATAGGATTTTTTATACTTTTTATAAATTTTCCTTCCAAATGGTATGCAAGCATTTGGATATGTAAAAAAGATGAGTCGATAGAGACCGAAAAATTATAACTAAATAACTGATAAAGCTATCATGTGACCCACTCTTCTAGTCAGTGTTTTAAAAAACGCCGAGTCGAACCGGACTCGCCCGGCTCGACTCGGAAATCGCAAAAAGTGGATCGTATCGGCTAAAAAATCGGAAATCGTCCGGTTCTAGAGAGAACTGGACGATTCTGTACAGTGACTCGCCGATTCACTATACGGAATCGGCGAGTCCGAACAGTGAATTGGCGAGCCCCGCACGGTAATTTTTTTTTTTTTTTTTTTTTTGTTTTTTGTAATCCATGATAGATTTTTTTGTAATACTTAATCGATTTTTTT